AATTTATCATCATAATTGTTATTGCCTTTTGTAACTCAAGCATACGAAATAAACTTCGACCGAACAAGAATAATATACATTTTCATATGCGTGCAGTTTTTGTTTGACATAATTATTTTTGAAACTAACCTTATATTCTCTCGTGCAATTCTTTTTTTACATAATTATATGCATAATTTAAGGGAACCAAAAATTCAATAAAATTAACAACATTCGTGTACTATATTTGAAACTCGTTCGGCCATTGTGCAGTTATAGCCTTTTGTCGTTAAAATAAGGCGTTCAATTTTGATAATATTCAGCGAAAGACAAGATAATATTATGTTAGAAAATGAAATAGGCCAATAGAGCTTCCAATATGACTCATTATACTTCTTTTTTTTTTTTTTGAAATTAAATAAAATAGGCACGTTATTTTATTATATATATTAATTTACAATAAACATGATTAAAATGTCCACTTTTTATTTATATTTGAAAAACACAATTAACTTATGGTATTTATAATATTATTTATCTTCGTAGATACTGATAATTGAAGTGTAAAAATTTAAAGATAAGCGTTATTATGATACAACATACAAGTAGTTACATTATTAGCATCATCGCTAGTATCTTTAAGCTTACATACGTTATTACAACTTGATATGGTAACACTCGAAAATAAATAAATCCATTTAAGTTTTGAAAACTACTGTGAAATGTTTAATCAATTACAAAGTTGATAATGATTCCTATGAATCGACGTTTTAAGATATTTTTAACAAAAATTCAAAAAGTTTAGGAATAAAGAATGCATTAACATTAAGTTAGCCAATTTCAACGTAGATCAATATATTTTATTTGTTTTGTAAAATTATTTTTATGCTTAGTTATAAGTTATTAACGCTACTGTTTCAAAAAAGTGTGTATTTTAAATGAGTTTAAATGATTAAATTTATGTACATATTTACTTTTCTCTTTTGTAGTATATAATACTAATTGGTTAATCATTACAAATATTTATACTTAATGTACTTTTATTAACATATTACCAATAATTCACAATGCATACGTATAATAGGCGTACAGCATTGCTAAATAAAGTACAATGTAACTAGGAATACTCTGAAAAAAAAAAATATGATTTTAAAAATGAATAAAAGAAACAACCGAACATCATAATTTGGTTTTTATATAATTTATTTGTAAATAAAATACTTTAATTTATAACTAATACCTACATAATATAACATGGTGAATAATTAAAAAAAAATATTATAGTATAGTATAGTATAATATTGAATACAAAAATACGATATTTCACGATTGTATGTTTAAATATTATAAGCTTAAGCTTTTATAATAATAATGTTTTAATGAGACACATTTTATAACATATTTACAGATAATAAACATACTACACTCATATAATTATAGTCGGACAAATTATATACATCATTAAATTGTTTCAATTTTAAACAAATATATTAAGTTTATATAAGTTGGACTATACTTACAATTTCATTAATCGTTTGAAGTTTTAAGAACAGTTTATTATTTTAAAACTTAATAGCTTATGGACCAGTGTACCACAAGTTGAACAAATTCTGTTAAGCGATCTCATTTTGACAAAACCTTACTTTATTTTTATAGCAATTATTATAAACAATGTCCTTCTCAGACATTATTTTCGACAATGATTTATTCAATTCAATTTGTTTGTGGGCAGAGACGTACAGTGAGAGACGACCACCCTATTATATTTGCTTCATATAAAACAAAAAGGAATGTAAAAAGTTATACATACATTTTTGAAAAAAAATTACAAAAATAATATATTCAAGATTTTTTTTTTTTGTGAAAATCTTACACACGTAAGTAGTATATTTATGCATTTTATCCCATTATTCGAGACGCCCCTTGAATATCCATCTATTCCAAAAAACATTCCGTAAATAATGGTTCTATAGTGTCTTATTTTGTTATAAAGTTCACGTTCACTTTCTTGAGAAATTCGCTCGAGAGTTGAGGTATAAGTATATTTATTTATATTTTGCTTTCATACAAAATTATAAACGCTGAATCCTATACAGTAATCATCGTTTATTTCCCTTAACACATCGCGACAAGTGTAATATAAGTTAGCAGAAATTCATGAATACACACTAGCACTCACACACACACACACACATATAAATATACAAAATTAAATTTACATCAAGTTTAATATAAAATAAAATAGTTGAATTTATTTTGCTTCAAATCCGTAAAATTTTTCTAGTTTTTGTTTATTTTTTTTCTCTACGTATAAACGCTTTTTACTTAAAAATAGTTTAAACTATATAATCTATAGATTTTATATAGTATAGTATAGTATTGTATATATTAACCACACTCGAATGAAACACTCGTATAAAATAATTGACTTTTCAATGTTAATAATAGAATACATTTCAATAGAAGTTACTAGTCAAAATAACATTATAAAGCTTTTTAATTTAGAAAATAATTTATATTTTATTTATAAATTAACATAGATACGTATATAATATAATGGTAACTACAATGCTATAAAAGTATAACATATTTATTCAAAATGAGTTTATTAAAATTCATTAAAAACTTGGATGACACTAAAAATTCAAAACGTTTCAAACATTATTTGAAATGCACTATAGAACTGTCTTTGACAGATTATTCTCGTACCTTGTATTTATTTTTCTTATTAAGTTGTGCCATTTTAAAATGTTTAGAAAATACAATTCTATTTTTGATCCAAACTTATATTTTTCAATACATTTGCAAACCAATAAATTTATAAATAATATAAGTTAATACTTCAGTTGTTAAATACAATACATTTTGTAAATTATTATATAAATAAATGCGATAATTTTTGTGAATATATTAAAAAAACTTTACAAAATTTTAGATAAAATAATTATATTAGAGGTATAATAATATTTAAATATTATTCTTTAGTTTAAAGTAAAATATTAATTTACTGTCATCTTCGATATTATGTCAATATGTATAATATGCAAATTTTGATATATTTTTATAATTTTAAGCTTCTAGAAACTTTATTCCATATAATATATAGATATTATATTATAAATACATTTTTACGATAAAATTTAAGTATAAAAGTAGTTACTATTAAAAACTTTTTTATTACTATTTTATTCATCAGGATATAGGGAATCACATTTTTGATATTTACATGTTAACTGTGTTAACTTATAAATTTTCACAAATTTCCATCAGTGTGTTAATACATTATATGTTAGAATATATAATTCATTTTATGGTATTAAATTTTGTATACATTTTATAATAATTTACAAATTTACAAATTGCTATTTACTTAATTGCTTTTATATTTAATAAAGATGATAATTATTATTTCAAAATTAATTATACATTTTTATATGAATGTTAAGTATAATATTATTTCAATTATGAAATAATTACATTTAATAGTTTAATAATAAGTGACCCAATGACACAGACACTTATGTGGTTAATAGATTTGTTCTAATGGCACTTTTGAAAAGGAGACATTTTTTTTCATTCAGGTAATATTGTTATAATTTATAGCGATAATTCTAGAAATAGTATAATATTTTATTTGTATTAAAAATTTAAATAATTGTAAAATTAAAACTGGATCCTTGACTTTAGACTCTGGTTTTCTTAATATAATTAATGATTTTTCATTTATTTTGTTAATATTATCATACACATTTATCACGGTTGAATATTAAACGAATAGAAGGGTGAAATATAATACTGTGATGCTTAAATTCAGAATAGTATTATGTCTCTAAATTGAGTAAAGTTATTGAGATAGTAGTTAGTAGCTCAAATGACAAAGGTAAAACAATGTTTAGTAGTACATATCATGTTTAAAGTGGTCCAAATGAGTGTTTTGAGAGGAATTTTCACGATGACCGAACAGCAAAGATATTTTATTAAAAAAATTGAATAGCTTATAGTTAATATTGAATGGATAATACCGGCGTATTTTGACTACATAATTTAATATCAGTACTACTCCGAAGTATTTGTATAAGTTATTACGTTATAAACTTGGGATATCTAAGGTGAATTTCCGAGAATACTGAAATGATCTTTGTAGAATTATATTTTATTTTGCTGCACCTTGTGAAATATGCTATAGATATATATGATAAATATAAATTATAATATACGTTATATATATTATATGATTTTTATTGAACGTTGATTTGTGACTGATGTAAATTTTAATCAATATGGATGAAATGAAATCTGGAATTTACAGTATTACTACCGATAACTTTAAATGAAAATGCGATCTAAATTTAAGAACTTTTTTAGTTTTTACTTCAAGAATTATAAAATCTGTACAAAAATTAGTACTATTATTTAAGTGTTTATAAGTAATAAAAAATGTTTATTTATTCTTTTTCATTATTACTTGCCATTGATTGATGATTGGTAAAGACAATAACTAGTTTTAAAAATTATAAATAATAATTATTAGTTAAGTTAATTTAATACAATAAATAATAATTGATAATAAATTTTGATGTGTAAAACGTCTAAAAATTGTTTTTGATATAAATCAATAGTATAATAATATACAGTAAAATCAGTGATTCCAAATATAGTCAATAGAACTTTTAAGAAGGTTAATGAAAAGAACAGCCTCGATTGGAAATCATTGTATTATAAAAGTCAGAGGTGACTGTTTCTATAATATGATTTAAATCTTAAATAAATAATTACAATATGTTTAACTAGGTATATAATTAAAAAAAATAAAATACGATGAGTTAAATTTATTTTATAGAGAATTAGTTATAATATTAATTGATGTTTCTATTTTATTAAAGATAACTTTAAATTCTAATACTATTTAATTATAGTATACCTATGGATAATCGCATTATATAACTTGATATTTAAGTGTGAATTTGGTTACGTTATACGCATAACTGACGGTTACTAATATAATATTATATATTGTTTAGGATTTTTGTGGACTGCACCGGAACTTTTACGAATCAGTGATCCACCTGCTGAAGGTACGCCAAAAGGTGACGTCTATTCGTTCGCCGTGATCGTCCACGAGATCGTCACTAGACAGGGTCCATTTTATCTTGGAGACGGCAATTCGATGACACCCAAAGGTCAGTCACAGTAATTTATTACCGTTGTCATTATATTTATATATAACTGCACATGAGTTATATTATCATTAACAATGCATCGCGAATACGCAATGACTATAAAATTACCGTATATTTTACAATATTATGTAAAATGTATATGCTTATCATACCTGTTGCGCTATCCTCCGGACGACATAAGTGTAACGTGTGTAATATAGACGAACGATTTTGTTTTATAATGTTGTTAGTCTTTTGTATAGTGGTGCGAAATCTGCTAACCCTCGATCCACACGAAACGTAGGATGTTACAAGCTAGAGGGCGCTAACAGTCTGAAAATAAATATTATATAAATTTATAATTTATTAATTGTTATTATAACATTATATTTGACAAAAAACGATTGAGATTTGTAACGTAATTATAACAGAAAACGATAAACATAAATAGTCAAATAATACAAAACAAAACATAACGAAAAACGTTAAACATAGTATATCATTAAATTAAATAATTAATTTTCAATTATTTAATAGTTATAATTTATAAAATATACTAACAATTTTAATTCTGAATAAAGATAAACGCAAAAGTTAAGTAACGTTTTAATTGTAAAGAACGTAAAACAATTTTTTTTTTCAAATGCAGGTCTTGGATTTTAGGGATTAAAATATATATCGTTAAACTGTTCAATATTTTTTTCTCAAACAAAGAATATTAAATTAAGTAAAAAAAAATAAAAATATTTGTCATCAATTTGATACTTAAAAATTAATTATTCAACATAAAACGTGTAATAGTTTCTTGATGAATACTGTAAAAAGAATATTTAAGCTCTAATTCTTAAATTGAATGATATTTATATTAAATAACCAGTAATAAAGATTCAAAAAAAAAAAAAAAAAAAAAACTGTTTAAATATGTGAAAACCAATTAAATTATAGCAACAGCATAAAAGTAAAAATTGTTATTTTGATAAGGTCAATAGATAGAAGTTACGATGTTTTGATATAAAAAATAATCAAATTACCAATAACATAAAATAGGTACAATTTCAAAATTTCTTATACCTACGTAAGAAATTTTCATTCTCGATGAGGATATTGCATTATTATAATTCATAATATTCTTAAAGTAAAACTACAATGTACTTCAAATGAATACACATATCTATTTTTTCTCTTGTTGAACATAAAAAAAATAACAATAACAACAATAAAGTACTTCATTGTCTTTACACGCGTATATATCTTATATTTACGCGGATAATTCACTTCAAATTTTCAGATATGGAATAATATTGTAAATGATAATAATCAGTAAACGAGTCTAAACTTTGACGTTTATGCGACTTGGGCACTTGTATATAGGGGACAAGAGTTCTTCCGTGAACTCAGATATTATCTATTGAGTAAAATAACACTAAACATTCTATTTTCACACTGTAAAGGCCGCAAAAGTTTATAAAATAACATTTTAAGTATGAAACCGATAAGATAAGTATAGTTTTACTACCAAACAGCCAGATTTTATCGAAAATAAAACTGAAAATTTAACATGCAATTTAACCTAGTCGTAATGTGGAATAGCCAATTCACACTACGTCATTCGGTTATTTCATTTCAAATTAAATACTTAAGTAATCAGCTTATATAGGCATAATCTTCTTTCAAGGGGCTTGCATTTGAGACAGGTATTGTGTGCACAGTTAGAAATCAATCAGCTTCAGAACTTAAAATCTCGTTGCTTGGCAACAGCACAAATTCAACTATGACAATATAGTATTACTAAATAACTTTCATTGGAATATTAACGGATTCAATTCTTATTTTTATTTTTTATTTTTTTATGATAATATGTTTTTAAAGCCACAACTGTAATATTATATTAATATTAGATAAAACAACTCAACTTTTAAAAGCAGTTATTATAAAATAACACAAATATTTTTACTTTACACAATTTATAGATCTTTCAAAAGCAATAAGGTAACTTAAAACATACCTGAATAATTAAATTTGTCTCCTTCAATTATGTTGTATTTAATATTACTCCCATTAAACGTAAATATTATTATAGTATTTGTATCTTTATTTTGTTTAACAATTTTGAAATAGTAATAGTTCATTGTTTATTATTTGTGTTGTATTCTTTGGCTTTTTTTATTTTATATTTGTTTACAAATCCATACTAATTGTGACTAGTCAGACATGAACATAAAGAAAAATAAAGGTTTGAGCATTCAAATAAATAATAAGTTAATCACCAGTGTGTGTCTACTGTCTATACAAAACTAGCGTAACATAAAAATAAACATGCTATGAACAAAAAACGTATTGCGATATATAACAAGAGATTGAGAGCGTAAAAACATAAAATTAAACAAATAAAAACTGTAAAATTGAAAACTGTATAATAATATAAAAGGTAAACTATTCAAACGTACAGAAGTGTACTATTTGTATACACTTTCCCTTTTCACTAAGTTTTACTATAGTGATATTATTTTAAGAATGAAAAAAAAATATTTTTTTATTATTAAGACATTGTTTCGTTAGGTAAATTAAATATCATCAAATAAACTAATTTTTAAACAAAAGTTAATTTAATTATTTTAGATACATTTGATTAAAAATTGTGTTGTAAAATATAAATAACTATCCTTTTTAATTTTTCATTTAAAGTCAGTGGTAATATATTTTTAATAATTGGTTTATAAACGAAGATATAATTTATTGTTGATTTATAACACTATTTTATCTTTTGTTAATAGAAGTGAAATAACAAAAAATTTAATTTTTATTTTTCGTTGGTGGGCTTATATTTCTTATTTGTATATTTATGATTATGAACATTTAATTAAACATTCAAATTAATAAGATTTTAAATACTTAATTGTATAACTTTTTTTATAAATTTTACTCATACATTTTATCTGTATACTACTCAATTATAAAATCATTTAACTATATAATTAAAATATTTCTTTAAAAATGTGCTAAAATATGTATTTATATATATATACATATTATTATGTATTTACATATAAATACATTTTTAACGAAAAATATAAAAACTTATACGTTATAAATAAAAAGTTTAAATTGTATTATTGATTAAAATTTGTACAGATTTATAGGTATTTTTTTTTTTGAAATTATTGATTTAGAAACACATATATATTTAATAAGTACCACCAAGGCAATTTAAAAGAGGTAGTGCGGTAACATGATAATCAAAAATCCCAAACCTCAAATGGGGTATTTCTCAATGTATAACAAAAGGAATTTTCTTACCAATCAATGTCAGTGATAATATTTTGTTCATTCTATTGGAATGATTTCCTCGGAAATGGCTATGTACTCTAAGCTTTCAACTTTTTTATAATTGAAAATGCTCGTATCAACTTGTTGACTATAATAAGCCTATATCAAACGTTGACGGTCAATAATTGTGAAATAAATACAATCTTTTATTATATTTTTTGGTCATAACAATTTATTATCTTGCTTATCACGGTTACTAATCATGGTAATTGAATAAACGTTAAAATAGAAATATTGGATAAATAATTTAAGAAATCATATTATTTCATATTTAACAAATTGAAATTTGATTTCTCTATATTTTTGATCCATTTTTAAATTTAACTCGCTGTTAAAATTCATAATATCATATACAAATAATGCATTATTTTTATGTAATGCAATGACTGAACGTAAACGGTATACACGATAAAACTTCTTGGGAATTAGTAATTGCTTGTCCAAATAACAGTTTTTATCATAAACAATATGATTGGAGGTTTTACTTATACACGATTCTACGATTAACGTAGAACTTTCTAAGTTCACTTTAGGGAAAGCTATATCAATATGTATAGAAATCTAACAGTTAGTGGTTAAGCGTCCTTACGTGGAAAGGTGAATCTGGTTGCCATCTTCATTACATTTGAGTGCTGATAGCGCAACATACTAATCAATTAAACACGATGCGAGGTTCAGTAGTAGTTTGAATTAAGGATGTATAAAGAATCCTACGCAATCTAACTGTGTGTATATTAAGTGATTTTGCGTCGTTAAATTCGCCACGTGTCAACACATAATATTTATTATAAACGTGTAAATATGTGAAATTAAACACTCTATAAATAAATTGCCAACAGCGTCGACACGCCCTCCACTGATGCAAAACTAAATCCAATTATATTCTATATATGTATGAACACATACATCACTATTAAATATTATTTATTGAAATACCATAATAAATACTATTATCAATAATTAATGACGTAAACTACAGCCATCATAAGAGAGACAAAATATATTGTTTAATGTGCACACAATAATTGACTATAATAGTTAAATATTTCATGAATTATTATTGAAACATATTTCATCTTTAATATTAACGGGTATAAAACAATCGACACGGTCTTATAATGATAACTTTACTGCAATGATTTAGTACACATACGTTTCGATGTGCATATACACTACTCTGTTCTAATCTACTTGTAAATAACATATATATTATACAACATCGTATAAACACCATTACAAATAATATATTTTACGAGTAGAACCATCATCAGTTTTGTTGAATCAATATTCCCATGATGGGTCGTTATGTATGTCACAGTGCAATTTGCACTTCGCTTCAAATTGTTATTCATGGAAAAATTTTTTTTCTACCAAACTCATAATCCATCTGTTGAAAATATGCAAGTATCATTAAAAAAAATACACAGCGATGATATTTTGTACGATGATATACTCTGCAGATTATATTTATTTGAAGTGAATTGAGCAAAATTATGATAGGAATTAAGGGTATTAAGACTGAAATCGTATTTTATAATTTATTTTTAAGCTTCCTACAATCACAATTATTGTTTGTGATAAAAAAAAAAAAGTTTTATTTTTAAAATTATTGATGTTATTATTATAATATAAACATCACGATTTTATTTTCAATTAAAATATTCAATAATTAAAAACATTTTTACTATAAATCA